AAAAGTGAACACAAAATACATCATAGACAGATATAAAACCTGGTAACATAAAACTTTCACAGGAAAACACAGGAGGAAACTTTTGTGGCCCTGGGAAAATGTTTCTTAGATACTACACTAAAGCATGATTCATAAAATAAAAAACATGGTAAACAGATTTTCATCAGAAGTTAAAAAAAAAAAGTCTGCTCTTCAAAAGCCACTAATAAGAAAAAGAGTAAAAAGGCAAAACAGAGACAGAGAAAATATCTGCAAGTCCTGTATCTGATAAAGAACATATTTATGCCATCCACCTGCCAATGGATAGTTCTGACTTCGGAAGTGTGGGTATGTGTGGAGGGTGAAGAGGCCAAAAAATAAAGAACTTAACAAACGTTGCCAGTAACAGGGTATTTTAGAGGAAAAGGTAAATTACAGCTTTCTCATGAAGACAAGAAGAAACTGAAGGAGTCCAGAACAGGATTATAATGATGAGAAAATACACAGTGGAGGAGTGATAGAAATACTTGGAATTAACTTCTTACTACATTATATTAAGAAGAGATTTCACTCACTCATTGAGTTCACATTTGAGTACAATATTTATAAAGGACTTTAATATGACTGACCATGTAAATTAACTTCTTTCTGACTCAAGTTGTTAATAATAAAGCACTCTCTGTTTTAAAAACCCTCCAATAAACTCAAGATAAAATATGTTAGTAACTAACTAGGGAACACCGATACTATTGTATTTATATGGATTGTAACATATTTATGGAAGTTTCCTTGGAAACTCTGACTTGGGCAGCAGATAGTAACAACATAGAGGCATGCAGTACGAAAGTGAAAGTCCAAGACTTTCAAGAATATGCCTTTGTTAAACTAACCTAGAGAAGTTTCTTCTTCTTATCTTAAAAATAGTGTAGCTTTACTAAAATATGTATAAATCATTTGCACAGAAGTGATTGGCATTTCTAAAAAATAAAGGAAGAAGCAAGACAAGAAATTCAAGTAGAAAGTCGCAAAAGGCGGTCCTTTGTGACTCATTTTGGTCAAGCAACTAATAGTTAGACGGTGCAAACAGAAGGGCAAGACTGCAAAGAAACCAAAGAAACCAAAAAAACCACCAGCCTCCGTCCATTTACTTGGGTACAATGGACTCACTTAGGTAAATTAAAGAAATAAAGAGGTGAATTTTTTTGTGCATACTGGGCCATAAATAGTATTCCCATCTTCCTACAAGTTTTCAAGTCATGAGAAATATATCTTAATTCATGCTTGCTTCTAAGAAATTACAAGTTCAGGGAAAGCCCAAAGACTTTAGATGAACTAGAGTACTTAGACATATCTGAACTTCTCATGAAAATTTATTTTCAGATGCTCCTTAAACACTCCATGTTCAAAAGGAAAAACCAAGCTGTTCTGAGAACCTTGAGAAGCTGGGATGTTTTGTGAGGCTCTTCAACTTGAATCTGGAAAGTATGGCAAGGATCTCTCTATACATCTGAAACTGGGTGTCCAACGTAGTCAGAGTGACCAGTCTCTCATTCACTTTCCAGGTAAAAAGTGTTAACAATGTGTTCAAGGATGCCAAGAGCATTGTTCCCATAGGGTATTAAGTGTGGTCCCTTCTTGGTTGTTGAAATAGAGTTTGTCCTTATTGTTCCAGTCTGTTTTTCATATGTGCACTCTCTTGTTGAGTATAATCTCCTCACAGTCAGTGATTATATTATCAGCTACTACGTAAACTTTCAATTATGCAGACTAGAGCTGAAAACATACCTGGCAGATAAAACAAAAATAAAAACCGGAAGGATCTGGGATGTGTGTTTGCACCTCCTGACAGACAAGAAGGAAGACGTGGAGAGAACGGCCGATGAGGAAGGAGGGGACGGGTGGTCTGGCTCTGGCCTGGCCACTGGCTGCCTGCAGCGGCCTGAGACCTGCCGCAGCCTCTCTGGTCTCGCTTCCCCTCCCGGTCTGCAACTCTCCCAGGGAAGCGGTGAGAATCAACTGTGACACTGTCAGTGGCTGTGCTCTGAAGCGACACAAGGCTATATATAGTTATCTAATTAATAATAGATTTTTTCTCTCAAAAAAAGATTTTAAAACTATAGCAAAATGGTATCTTACCAAGGAGCCTGACAACACTGAATACAGCCTAAAACACGCGCACGCGCACACACACACACACACACACACACACACACACGGTCAGAGGATCAGGAGATGCGGGTCTTGGCCCCAGAGTGGACGTAAACAGGCCCCATGCGACCTGCACAAGGCCTCTCCCATGAGCTTTCTTGACGATAAAACAGAATCTACGGAAAGAATGCCTAAGCCATCTTCTAGGTCATGATTTGGTGACTCTTTTAAATATCACTTAAATATTATGCTAATCTTTTATCTGTAGAATGAAATATTATCTTCTGAAATAACGCATGCTTTCATTTGGTAATTCCTGTAAATTAGACTGTAATCTGAGTCAGGATTTTTGAACCGGAAGACATTTCAAAATGTCAAAGTGTATAACAGGGTTAACTTCAACGGATAATTTCCTGAAGAAAATTCAGCAGGGATTATCTGTGTGTACATGGGTGAAAGTGTGCACTCATGTGTTTTGGGGGGTGACAGGCAGGCATGACAGATACCTATGCTATTTGAGGCATGTTCAAGGCATGTGACGGTTTGCTAGTGATGTCTCAGTATAAAGTTTGGGCTTAAAATTAGGTACAAAATGATCTTCAATGATAAAAATTGAGACAATTTATTAGGGAATGTTTTGATGTAATTCTTTTAAAGTAAAAGAGGGACTGTCTTATTTAATGTATTAAGTAATACAGCAAGTATCAAATTAAAATACAAAACTTCCCAGAGATCTTTTAAAATAAATACCTCAAAATAAGCTGCCCAAATGCATTATGCATTTGTAGAAAATATACAATGCTAGTGTTCTGGGTATTAGCATTTTTCTTTAACACCTGGAAATAGGCATTTCATAATATTTTTTTACCACATATTGTACATGTTTTCAGTTAATACAATTCAAAGATAACTCAAACAAAAGTAAGTGACAAACTGGGTCCATAAAAAAATTTAGTGTGAGTCTTGGACGATAGCTCAATTGGTTACAGTGTTGTTCTGCTATACTAAGGTTTTGGGGTTGCCCCACCCTGGCGAATACCTGAGGCTCTGCCCTTACTATATAACAGGTGCTCCAAGACAAAAAATTATGGCTCAAATGAAAGAACAGGTCAAAACTCCAAAAACAGAACTAAGTGATGAAAAAATAGCCAACCTATTAGATGCAGAGTTCTAAACACTGGTAGTCAGGATGCTCACAAAAATGGTTGAGTATGGTCACAAAACAGAGGAAAAAGTGTAGGCTGTGTAAAGTGAAATAAAGAAAAATATACAGGGAACCAACAGTGAATGGAAGGAAACAGGGACTGAAGTCAACAATTTGGAACAAAAGGAAGAAATGAACATTCAACCAGAAGAGAATGAAGAAACAAGAATTCAAAAGAATGAGGAGAGGCTTAGGAATCCTCAGGACAACTTTAAACATGCCAACATAGAATCATAGGGGTGCCAGAAGGAGAAGAGGAAGAGCAAGAAACTGAAAAGTTATATGAAAACATAATGAAGGAGAACTACTTCAATCTGACAAAGGAAATAGACTTCCAGGAAGTCCAGGAAGGCCAGAGAGTCCCAAAGAAGTTGGACCCAAAAAATGTACACCAAGGCACATCATAATTACATTACCCATGATTAAAGATAAAGAGAGAATCTTAAAAGCAGCAAGAGAAAAGGAGACAGTTACCTACAAAGGAGTTCCCATAAGACTATCAGCTGATTTCTCAAAAGAAACCTTACAGGCAAGAAGGGGCTGGAAAGAAGTATTCCAAGTCATGAAAGGCAAGGACCTACATCCAAGATTACTCTATCCTGCAAAGCTTTCATTTAGAATGGAAGAGCAAATAAAGTGCTTCCCAGATAAGGTCAAATTAAAGGAGTTCATCATCACCGAGTCCTTATTATAGGAAATGTTAAAGGGACTTATCTAAGAAAAAAAGATGATCAAAACTATGAAGAGTAAAATGACAACAAACTCACAACTATCAACAACTGAAGCTAAAAAAAAAAAACAAAAAACAACCTGAGCAAACAACTAGAACAGGAACAGAATCACAGAAATGGAGGTCACATGGAGGGTTATCAGTGGGGAGGGGAAGGGGGGAAATGTACAGGGAATAAGAAGCATAAATGGTAGGTACAAAATAGACAGGGGGAGGGTAAGGATACTACAGGAAATGGAGAAGCCACCGAGCTTATATGTAGGACCCACGGACATGAACTAAGGTGGGGGATGCTGATGGGAGGGGGTGTGCAGGGTGGAGGGGAATAAAGGGGAGAAAAAAATGGTACACCTGTAACAGCATAATCAATAAAATATACTTAAAAAAAGAAGCAACCAATGAATGCATAAATAAGTGGAACAACAAATGATGTGTGTCTCTTCCTTGCTCTCCCTCTCTCAAATAAATACATCAAAAAAGATTATGTTAAAAAAATTTTAGTGTGATACTTTAATTTCTTGTAATTTTTCATACACATCCTCAACATCCAACCATTAAAATATTCTCCTTGCCTTGACTGGCATGGCTGAGTTGGTTAGGCATCGGTCTACAAAATGAAAGGTCACCAGTTCAATTTCCGGTCAGGGCACATGCCTGGGTTGTGGGTTTGGTTCTAGTTGGGGGAGGTACAAGAGGCAACCAATCAATGTTTTTCTGTCACATCAATGTTTCTCCCCCCGCCCCCTCCCTTCCCCTCTGTTTAAAAATAAATGAATAAAATTAAAAAAATATTCTCCTTCAACCAACTAAACTCTTTTATCAATTATCTGAAACTTAATTCAGAGTATATTTTGAGAAGGAAAATGAAATATTGTCCTTCATAAAAAAAAAAAAAACCCAACTATTGCTGCAAATTATTTAGGAAGAAAAGTTGCTCACTGTGTCACAGATTCGCAGCTCCTTTGGAAATCCTGAGACTTGTCCTTGTTGGCTGACTGCTGTGAAAGAAGAAACCACCAAACAGGAAGTCAAAAGTCAGAGGAGACAGCACAGGTAACATTCACATGCTGAAACCCCGCCAACGGGCCGAGTGAGGAGAGAGCACGCCTGTTCTGAGCATCAACCAAGAGTTCTCAGCTTGCTGGAGCTCTTCGTAAAGAAAGCCAGCTTCCAGGCGTGTGGCAAAAAGTGTCACACGGAATCAGTCTAAATTAACCTGGCAATACTACATGAGATATTACTTAAGTTCTAAATTTACCTTTTGGCATTGCATCTTGACTTCGTAATCTTTTCAGTATACTTTGTATTTTCATCATGTATTCACTAAACTATAGGTAAAATATTATATCTGAGAGCTCTTTAAAATCTTCTACCAAATTTGTTCCAAGTGCCTGTTTTATTAATGGCACCTCTACGAGAAAAACAAATAAGTACTCTCAGTGGTGTCAAATTATATGCTAAGTGTTAGATGGTTCCTCTAGAATGTGAACATTATTTCCAGATAAAAGTATGTGTTTGATATAGACAGTTTTTTTTACATATCAACCAAAGGTTGCCATCAAATAGACCACAAATGTTTTCTACACATAATTACATGTTATAAAAAGGATCCACTTAAAATTCACATAAAAATATAAATTGTTACTACGTTCAAGTTTTGAATTACACACAAACTGAATCATATACAAATGAGGGAGATATACCACATCTATTTATTTAAGTAAAAAAAAAAAGTCAGAAAACAAAAACCAAAATGAAAGAAAAGGAGTACAACCTTCTCTTTCCATCTTAACTTGTTTGAGTAACTACTCTTTCCCCAGTCTTATCTCTGTGGAGCTGGTTTTGATTTTTTAGATTTCCTCCACAATGAGATCCCTGCAGGATCATTCCTCAGCAAGATTCAGCACTGAATATTTTTAAACAAGCATTACTTTTTTATCAGAAAGACTTCAAAAGGATATTATGTTTTTCTGGACCATAATTATGTGACATTACTACTAGCTATATAGCATTAAATCAAACATATAATAAAATGAGAATTAAAGAACAAGAAGACTTAGTAGTGAAAGGTTTTAATAAGTGACCCAATTTCATAGAAAGCCAAAGAAGCAATGATAAACACCTTGATTTTCTTCTAGCAGTGGAGATGATCTGACTCAGTTAAAGAATATTTGTTTGGAAAATTCAAATTGAAGGAGTAATTCACACTGCAGAATACTTTACCTGCCTTAAATCAACAGAGCAAAAAGCTAAGGAAACCATTGAAACCTAGCTCAAAAAGCATCAATTATAATGGAACTTCTTTAGTTTTTTTCCAGACTTATGAAATAAAAATTCCAAACACAGCCATCAAATTAAAGGTAAGATGCTTTACTCTTTACATGGTCTAAGTATTACTTGTATCTCTTTGCCCATGGCAAGACAAGTATCTTACCATAAATATATTTACATATATGAAACTTTTATTAAATTACTGGATAAAAAACCCACTAACATGATGGCTCTAATTAGAAAGTGAACTACTCCAGAGGTTGAGGAAACATCAAACAGAATTACAGATCACTAAGACAATGTTACTTTTAATTACTTGTGACCTTGACAGATGAGTGTAACATATTACCACGTGCAGGTCTTACCAAATCTGCTTCTAAGAGTCAGTTCACGTGAAATGGATACTGTGATGTCCTCAGAAGGTTGGTCTTACCTAGGTTAAACATTGTGCCTGCCATCTTTCTTACTATATTATTGCATTACTGTAACTATGTACCCAAAGGTGAATGATGTGTTCAAATCCTATGAATCCCAAAGTAGGGTATCCACATAACAAAGTTTTAATACTTATTTCTAAAAGAACGCTCATTTAATTAGGCCCAATACTTCACTTCTGAACACCTTTACTCACTCATTCCTTGGTCTCGGCAGCAGCACGCCATATGGGTAGTTATGGAAGCAGAAGGAGGGGGAAGGAGGAGGTGTCTCTGGGAGTTGCTTTGTTTTATTTTCTCTTTAATCCAAAAAGCCCCTAAGGCTACAATATCATCAGCCCACAAGCGCCCCCCACCATCCACAAGGCCAAGGAGCAGGACTGCCCTGCGTTCCCTCCTGTCCACACACACACACATCTCAGACAGTTGTTTTGTGACTCCGCTTCTTCCTCATGGGTAGCCTTGACTGGAGAGGAGGGGATAAAGAGAGGAAGACGAGCAAAGCAAAAGAGATGAATGAAAGGACCAGCATCTGCAGACTCCTGCTTCCCGAAACCTTACGACTTCTTAGAGGTGCTTTTACATTTAGATGCAGGGAGACTTCAACAGGAAAGGAATGATTAATGGAATGATTTTAAGTGCTTCGACTGATTACATGGAGATTAGCCAAGAAGAAACAACTCATAAATAGCTCTGTAAAGGAGAAATGGGCCCTGCAAACAACTCACCCAAATATTTCTTATATATCTGAAGAATGAATGTAAAATTATGTAAGTGTTCAAACCATGTTTGTTGTAACTAGCACACCAGCTTTAAAGAAGGCAAATTTAAGATAGAATAGCTCCACTTTTACCTGCTGTTTATATAGTCCCGATATCTATTTTTTCCATATAATTAATATCTATAACTTGTTTATATCCACTTTGTAGGATTTTTTTTTTGAGAGAAAGGAACAACAATCAGGGACGGTGGTTAAATTGCAGTCTTGGTTCTGTTATTAACTCTCTGTGGCCTAAGTAAGCCACCGCTCTTGGGAGTCTGATTTTGTGTTTGGCAAAGAACAGCAGGGGCTCAGAATGAAAGCCTGAGCCATCGCGGCACCACTCTCTGTTTTGCAGATGAGGAAATGGAGGCCCAGAGTCGCTACAGGGTTACAGAAGTAGCCTGAAGGTTACACTCCTATTTTTCAAAACAATGTAACGGTAAAGTAACTTTTCAGTACAATTTTCATTGAAAACCTCATACACAAACACTTACAGGCAGAATTGCTCTAGGTGAAGCAAGGTCCCCAGCTGGGCACACCTGGCCCCCCAGTCAGTGCTCAGAGCCCTGGGGAACAGGGCTGTCCCCACAGGAGAGGGCTGACAACTGGACTACACAAGTTCTTTGGATTTCCTCTATTGCTAAAATTCTGTTTGCAGGAGCACAATTTTACGATTTTAAATACTCATATGAGTTTAATGTCCATTCTTTGCTTTTAAAATTTATTATTATGTGATTTGTATTTGATGCTAAATCCTCCCATTATAATGCTTTTCCTTAAAGGACAAAACATTCTTTTGCATTAAGATGCAGTTTCTACAGACATACTAAAAAGGGAAGGCCTTCTCTGTGATCCATCATCTGCAGTGCTGGAGGCTAACGGCGCCAATTAAACAACAGCACATTCTTGTGGAACACCACTCCACCAGCGGGGCGCGGGCGGTGCTGGCTCCCGGGACTGGAGCCGTGCAGGCTCAAGGAGCTCACACTGGAGGGGAGACAGGTGCGGACACAACAGGAAGACAGGAAGAGGGAGAGACGTCATGGTGAAGGTGAAAAGGAAATGCGGGGAGAAAAAGAACAGAAGGCTCGAACTGTGTAACTGGAGACTTTTGAGAAGGATCCAGAGGAGGAAACATTTAGTTAGATCTTAAGGGATAAATTGAAATTCTGCTAATTGGGGAGGTACCCACAACCCCACAGTTCAAGAAAGCAGGGTGAGCAGAAGCTTGAGGGACGTGTCCGTGGGGCAGCGCACCAGCAGCCTGTGTTGGAGGATGAGGAAGAACAGTAGGTCGAACCTTCTTTTCAATCTCTGAGGATGGGATCCAAAACCATTTGCCAGGTTTGGACTACATAGACAAACGTAGAGCCCACTGACATTTCTGAGCTGGTAAGTCACATGACTTGACTTCTGTTTTAGGAAGATATCTCCAGTAGGCGGGCGAGGGGTACATTAGAAGTTAGAGAACAGAAGAATGAAGACTGCTGTAGGCGGGGATGGAGGCCGGGGGGGGGGGGGGTGGGGGGGTGGGTGGGGGGGGTGGGGGGGGTGTATTTCATAGCAACACCCTCCCCAAGCTCTTCCCCCTGGGTTCACTCTAAAAATGCTGGCATCCTTACTGATTCCTACCCTTCGTCCTTATTCATTCTTTATACTTCTCTACTCCCACAGATTCAGCCAGCATGTTTATGTTAACGACTTCCAAATCAATACAACGAATTCAGATCTCCAGTGATCTTCATAATGACCCAGCAATTGTTAGTTTTCACCAAATCTTATAAAGACAATAGTTTTTCTAAATACACACTTGGATCTAAAAATTTTCATCCCATACTACCTTGCAAGTTTTCAAAATTTTTTTGAGTCCCATAGAAGCTTTTAAGAGATCTGCAATTGGCTGCTGTACATATATTGCAAACTTCACGTGTCTCAAAATTGAAGTTCTTATATTTTTATACACAGAGGTGTTCAAATTAGAAACCTAGATTTCTCCTTTTCCTTCTTGTGGATTTAGTCACCAAATCCTACTTTCTCAATATGTTTGGCTTGGGTTACTGCAACAGCGTAAGACAGGTTCCGGGTCTTACTTCCTGCAGTATTGCTTTTTCCCAGTCTTTTCAGAGTTTCTTGAACGACATTTTGAAATAACCAGTTTGATGTCATCTTCCATGCTTTATATCCTTCGTGGCTCCCTACTACCTTGAGGACAAGAATCCTGCTCCTACACATGCCACACAAGGACCTTTGTGATCCTGTCCACTTGTTCAGGTTCAGCTCTGCTTTCGCTGTGCATCCTAAGCTCCAGCGTGATGAAACATTTGTGGTGGCCCACGTGTATCGGCCTTAGTATATGTCTGCTCAGTTTGCCTTGCATGTCCTTTCACCCATAACCCTCATTTTAGAAATTAACTTAAGCCCTGGCTGGCGTAGTTCAGTGGATTGAGCACGGGCTGGGAACCAAAGTGTCTCAGGTTCGATTCCCAGCCAGGGTACATGTCTGGGTTGCAGGCCATAACCCCCAGCAACT